ACAACACACACACACACACACACACGTCGGCGCCCGAGGGGCAAGAACGCCAGAAGACACACACCACACACACCACACACACACCACACCACACACACACACAACACACACACACCAACACAACAAACACACAACACACACAATACGTACGGGTCTGGGGGGGGGGGGGATCCCCTACATTCAGTAGTGTTTATTTTGAGCAAGTGTGTACCTAATCCTAAGTGAATCTATTCACACGTGTGAGTAATATATGACCTACATGTGCAAAGACAACACTACAACCCCATACACTGACACTACGAACTACCACGACACGGATATATCATAAACTCCCATTTTCTTGGCAGTTTGGCACAACAGCCAGAGAACACACACACACACACACACACACACACACACACGTACACGTATTTCCTCATTGGAAAAAGGCTTGATTGTACTCTTCAGTTTTAAGCAATGTGCACCAACCACCTCATAGAATAGACGCTAAGCCGGTACCTTCAAAGTACTTGTAATGTTCTGTAGGGGAACTTGGAAACTGAGAATGTTTGAAGCTTGCATCTGAACCCCTAATGATAGAACAAAGTTTCAGGCCTTCAAACATATTCTCGGTTCTCGTAGTCCTTTTTAATGGCTTTTTTGATGCGGTCGATTTCATCCTCACTTGAGCTGTCATGTTTGCCGTCTTTCTTGCCACTGTCCAATGGGGCTGTGTCGGTGCCTTCGTCGTTTGTTGGCCCGGTGCACTGCAGCTCCTCTCGTATCGTGTTCAGCTCCACCAGGCCGTCGTGCAGCTGCGTCGCCACCTCCCTGATTTTGGCGGCAAACTCGGACTTGGCCCCTTTCTTCAGTTCTTTGGAGTCCTTGGCGATGAAGTAGATGTCCATGCCTACAAAGAGTCCAGTGAGCACACCAGTGGCCATACTAGCGATCTGAACCGCTCTCGCTGCGGTGCTTCCCGCCACGTTGGCGATCTGCACCACACGCATGATCTCGTTAGCGCTGATGAGGATGGCCTTCCCTGCCATGGCGCCGTCTTCATAAATACTCTTGCTGAGCACAGGGAAGTCTCGGTTGTAGGCGTGTTCTTTCATCTTGATCAGGTCAAACCGCTTCATGTTCTCGATTCCCTGCTTGATGAACTTCAGGCACTTGTTGAGGTCGACCATCTTCTCCATATAATCATTCACGATCTTCTCCACCTTCTTGCGGTCCTGGGAGTTGTTGACCTGGTTGGAGATGCCGGCGCCTGCTGATGTCAGACCGCCTGCCGTAGCGACACCCAATCCTACAGCCGTAATAATCAGAGAGACCCCGAAGGTGACCGGAGCCAGAGCGAGGCCGGTGATGGTGGCCACGCCCCCGATGGCGCTGGTGGAGCCGCCGGTGATTTGGGCGATCTTTGTGTTCTTGTTGAACTTGTCCAGGCCGTCTGCGATGCTGTTGAGGTCGATGACGTGCTGCCAGAGGCTCTCAGCCCGCTCCGAGAACAGTTTGTTGAAGACGCGGATTCCCTTCTGCACCTTGTCCGCCGTCACAGCAAACGCCCTGAGACGAGCAATTTAGAATTACAAAGAGCAAGGTCACAGTTCATTTCAAAACTAACCCCTAGTGGATCTTCCATTCACATACTAGTGGTTTTAGTTCCCCAAGTTTTGAGATATCCAGCTCTCAATAATACACAGAATCTGTATAAAAGGTTTTTCTGGTGTGTCTAATACATTTTCTTGCTACATTGTTGATGTCAGACAAACATAAAAAGCTTTTTGAGATGTGGGGGGAAGGGGGTATTGTTTTTGGGAAATTGTGTATTTTTTCTTTTATATTTTTGACCGTGTTTCGAGCTGTGAAAACAAAATGATGATCTCCATATGTTGGGGTCAGTCAGGGAAGACATTAAAGATGTAGATATCTCAAAACTAAATCTATCTGCATGGCTTAATACCACCAGAAATAAAAAACATCAGATCAAAGACAAGGAAGTGAAATATTATATAAACATGTATTTGTGCCATCACTTACTTGGCCTCTTGTTTTTCTGTCATGTCCTCCTCTTGAGGCGTGTCCTCCCAGGCTGAGGAGGTAAAAGTAAGAAAGAAAAAAAATTAAGTTAACTTATCGTGCAATATTCAATAACGGACAAAAGTATGTGACCAGCAAAAGATCCAGAGCATATAGAGAGCCGAAGTCCCTCCCTTCCCGAGGGAGCTCCATGGGACCTTATTTCGGAAAAAGTATGTATTGAAGTCAATGGAGAGAGAAAACTTATCTTATGATCCCGTTTGAATTGTGCCACGAATTACACATATGATGTTTGTCAATTTAAAAAGATAGTTTTGCAAGTTAAAAAAATAAAAATGTGTCGTAAAACTGTGAAGTAACACATGTTTTTGTGTAAAACCGCTCAATGAACTACATCTCCCGTCTCGCACCACACACCAAGAAAACCGTCACGTTGGCACATTTCACTTCTTTCTTTCAGAATGAGGCGACAAGTATTAAAAGAGGTGAAAATCACTCCAAGTCTGGGCATGTTGAGAGCTGTACATACACACAAGGGGAGTTAGTCGGTTCCGTAAGAGCCAGCATGCGGGACCGGGATTCTGGGATTTGTAGTGTTTCTAGTTGGGTATTTTTCATAGTCTTATATTTCAACAGTTTTACGACAAACTGTGACTTTTTTGACATGGAAATTATTTTTTAAGATTGACAAACATCATATGTGTAATTCATGGCACAATTCAAACGGGATCGAAAGATAATCTTTCTCTCTCCATTGACTTCAATACATAATTTTTCCGAAATAATGTCCCATGGAGGTCACCGGAAAGGGAGGGACTTCGCCTCTCTATAGTTCCACAAGCATGGGCATTAACCTGCTGCTATAACAGTATCCAGTAGGGTTGCTGTTATAGCAAGCAGGTGAATGCCCATGCTTGTGGGTTCAGATTTTGGGACCTGGTTGCAGGGTTAGTTTCTATTCGGCCACAATATAAATTAATAAACACAGAAAACACTTTTTAACCGACCTTGCTCTGTGTCCCATGGGCATGGACGTATTTCCACTGGGAACAGGGGGACATGTCCCCCCACTTTTCAAAATCCCATTTGTGTCCCCCCCCCACTTTTAAAATGTGTTTATTATTATTGTTCTCAAAGTGACCAGATTGATGAATTCAACTTCAATTTAAAGAAAAAAATCTTCCCGGGGTGCATGCCCCCAGACCCCCNNNNGGGTTGTTGTTAGCATCTGGTGCTAGCTCGGAGCTAACAGAGATTAGAAGCTGTTTCAACAATAAGGAGAGGGAGAGTCCTCTCCTGTGGGGACTGAGAGAGATAACGTCAGCTCAGGGAGGTAAAGGACTCTGAGTGATTTAGATTGTAAACTTTAGTCTAAGTTATCTCAGTGGGTCTCAAATGGTTTGGTCATCTATGTAAACGAATATTTCCATCTATGTAATATTAGTTGTATATAAAATAAGTTAAGAAATCCTTCCAATGTGTACTATAGGTCATTACACAAATAAGAAACACAGTTTGAAAGGGGAGTGATTAGTCAAATATGCATAAATAAAAAGAAAGAATGCAGACTAGGTAAGATAAAGATGGAGAAAGGAGTATATCAATTATTTGTTATTGGTTGTGAGCATATTCTAATGGTTTTTTAATTATTGAAATATATACAGTTCTGTTTCATATGAGTGTTGAGAGCTTTATCCATAAATCTCTTAATGTTGCCCTCAAAGTGCACCAGATTGATGCATTAAACTTCAATTTCAAGAAAAAAATCTTCCCGGGGTGCATGCCCCCGGACCCCCCTAGGGGATGTGAAGTCATCACAAATAAAACTCGTTCACATGGATAGGATACTAGATAAGTGTGCACACTCATTATATACACTACACATTTTCTTGGATTTGTTAACACTATAGTCCCCAATATATTTGTAGAAAGGCAAGAAATGGAATTAAATTGAGAAAATGTTTCATTGCGGAGGACCCCCTGTTTTGTGTCCCCCCCACTTCTCAAACCAAAGTTACACCCTTGCCCATGGGCATAATGTTAAAATAGATAATGTTATTTCTAAAACTGTTGCCAAAAAATTGGAAGAACACTTTTGTCGTAGATATAATGGTTTGATGCGGCGGCATTCACTTCCTTTATTTGTTACTTACACTCCACGGTGTTCCACCAATCCATAAGGCCCTGGAAGTCCTGAAACACACCATTAGATTTATATGAGTTTGCATGTTCACGGTTGCTATTCAAACTGTTGAGATCATATTTTGCTTCAGAAACCAACCTGTCTGTCTTCAGGCTGTGACGGGTCAATACGTAAATCTTCCAGCTGGTCGAATAAAGTTCTTTTTCCATTCTGAAACAACAAAAATATTACTTTTTTAAATTCATATATTAACAACAACATTTGGAGTAAAGACAACATGTCAGGGTTTAGTGTGTGGCTGAAGTGTGCGAGTGAGACAGAAAGACTGAGAAACATAAAGATAATGAATTCATATCGACTTATGAGGCGTCTCATATCCTTGGTTTGACCTTTCATGCTGTATGTGCTCAGATAAAGAGGAGGAAGTGATAGAAAAAGGAATTCTAAATGCACAGCTTGCTTTTGCAGAAGTAAAGAATCGCCCACGGAAACTTTGAAAAAGGAAGCATAGCAGAGAAACCAGTTTGGGCACATGGCAACCTAATCTCATCTCGTCTCCTTCTATACCAGGGAACTGCACAAACACTGCGTGGAAGTGGGCGTCATGTCGAGAGTGGAGGGTGGAAAAAGAAACACACGTTGACTATAATTGTCTCTGTTGGGAGCTAAGTGGACACCCTGGAGACGAACATAAGACAGAGGTTGTTTTCAGGGAGGGGTCGGGTTACTGGAGCAGATCTTTAGTAATCCTGAACCACGATGAGTAAGACTGAAAATTGTCAGTTGGGTGGACAAATATTCTGACACAGAGGGAGGGAAGAGGTTAAAAAGTGATGTGAGAGCAGACTGAAGGAGAGAAAGGAACTAGGAAACTTCAAACAGTTTTATGTGTCATCAAGTTCATTTTCACTACCTCTCCTTCGCCTACAGCGCCGTCCTGAGCGTTCCTCCTAATGCCTTTGCCCTGAAACAAATGAAAACACACCCAAGACACACAGTTACAGCATTTCTTATATCAATATACAGTTTTGCTTTTGGGCAGATATTAATTCCCATGCAGTCCAAACCGCTACAAAACTATTTTCTCAGAAGCAGCGAACTTATTGGAGGAATTAAAAATAGTTACAGAGCTGAAATAATTAACTAGCTACACTAACAAACCCAATAAGGTCATATGTTTGAGATTTCTTATTACCTATGCTTACTTACTACTCTTCACAACATAACATGGTAAGACTGTACATTTTCAGTTAGCAGCCACAGAGATACACCAAAAAAACATTAAATAATTGAGTGGAGATTTGTGTCCGACAACGCTCTCCACCACCAGCATCAAAATAACCTTTTAGAGAATATATATTAAGAGAATGGTGTTCATGCTATTTTCATCCATGGCAATAATTAAAGTAATGGCTTTGTGTCTATTAGACAAAGGGGAGACTTTATTTAAATGTTCTTTACGGCTTCAATTGAATTTGTGAGTTAAAGGTAGGGTAGGTAAGAATGGAGAAACCAGCTCGAGTGCGCTAGAATTTGAAAATACACAGCCGGAAAAAATCTGCCCCTTCCTTACAGAGCCCCTCCTCCAACACACACGAACGCGCACATGACCAATGAGGGCACGAGATAAGTTTGTGCACAGATGGAAGGCTGACAGGCAGGTAGGCCATCCAGTTATTTTAGCCGGGCCGGGGAAGATGATTGGTCGTGCTTTTCACAGTACTACGGCTTCCACAGATGAAATTGTTTCTGAAGTGAATTACCTACCCCACCTTTAACATCCAATGGCATCGACCTTTTTTTCTTCTGATGAATTTGACATTTAACAAACAATGATTAACTCAATCATCATAGAATAACAAGCGCTGTCATACAGAAACACATTGTCTCCACAGTTCAGATGTATACAGATTCACTGACTTAAAGAAGACACAGAGGGATGCAGATGCTGTGACTAAAATGTTGTCCTTAATATTTGAAACTGCTCATACAGCAGCATTATGCTTGGTAGGTTAGTATTTGTAATGAAGGATTTAGTTAAATTACATTTTGTTCAAACACACATGTATTATCCGCGTGTAAGGAAACATGTGATTGATTGTTACCTTTCCACTTGGCATGAACGGATTGTGTTTCTTCGGTTTCTTGACTTTGGTCTAAAAAGAAAAATCATAGTTTCAGTGTTACCATGAGGAAGATGCACATCATCACATTCTGGAATATTTTGGAGTAAAATGTAACATTTGTTCCTGATAACTATGGTTAAAATAATCAAACCAGGAACTGTTATTCTTTTAACCCTTTGATGCACAAGAGGGTCTTTTTTGAGGTGAGGTGGTTTTCTTGAAGTATCTTTGTAATTAAAAAATTGTATCATTTCATATTCCAGCTATTCCTCAAAAAACATGTTTTGGATATCATGCCATTCAAATTTTAAATTTACATTCTATACATTTTAAGAAATTGTAGTTTTTGTATTTCTACCCCAAGCTTCCATAAGTGGGTCAAAAATGACCCGCATGCATTTCCTATGGGATCCTCTGGGAACCTTTGATTCTTATCACCTGTTGCTGTCAGGAATACATTCACTGTAGACCACACAGACTACATCACAAGTGACACCTCTAATAATAATCATAATAATACATTATATTTGTATAGGGCTTTTCAAGGACTCAAAATCGCTTTACAATATAAGGGAAGGTTAGGGTGCGGGGTATAGGACTATCAAAGTGGATAAACCGGCATGGATTGGGGGGTGGGCTATGAGTAGACAAGAGGAGAAGAGACGAGTTTTGAAAAGGGACTGGAATACTGTGAGGGTCTCAGAATAGTTGAGATCTTTGCATCAATATGTTCAAAATGTTGTTTTTTTTAAATGTAAAAAAAATGTCTAAAATTATAAAGAGTGAAAAATTAAATATAAAATATTTCTAGTGTGAACAAAAATATAATACTAAATATTATAAAAGTGATTTTTCTTAACAAAAATGGCATAAAAATAAAAACACATTATTATTCTAATACGGGTCCTTTTTGACCCACTTATGGAAGAGTGTGGGGTCCAGTCACTCTAAGGGCATCGAAGGGTTAAAAAGCATTTCATTGAAGACATTAATTAAAGCACCTCAGTTTTTTCTTTGCCCTCTTCATCTTTTGTTTCCTCTTTGGATGAAGAATTATCTTCTCCATCGAGCCCTTCATCATCAGACTGAGCCTGAAGAAAGAAAAAAGAAGTGTGAACTTCAAAATGAAATAAATGAGTACCAAGGGGGAAAGCAACAGGGTGGTGATAAACGTACTAATTAAAAAAACTTTTTTCAATTTGATAAAGTACATCAGCTTTGTGAAAATACATTTGAGGTAAGGGACTCAGTATAGTTTATTGGGTACCACTTTACAATAAGACTACCCTTATAAAAGGATTCATAAAGGGTTTATAATTAGGTTATTAATTAGGTTGTAAACACTTTATTTATCATTAAGAACCATTTATAAACCAGTTCTAACGTCAACACAGGCTCACTATTTGGCAAGATGACTAATGAAGCTCAGCCAGAACAAGTTCAACCAGGAAGACCATCTTTACTAACCCATTTACTATTCCGATGTAACTACTCTCTCTCCTCTCAATAAGTGATCGGGGGCGTCACTCCCCAGCTTAACCAATCAATTCGCTCTATTCTCACAAGCCTATCATAGCGCTCTGCTAAACCTTTTAAATCTGCTCTCCCCCTCTGACAGCTGTCATTTCAGGTGACTCAACACAACCCTCCTCGCCCCCTTTACACCTCCCGTCCCTCTGAATCCAGGGTCAAGCTAAGCCCCTCCCCTTCAGACCGAAACCCAACCATCCATTCACCACCACCAGCGTCTAGACCCCGGGGGGTTTTGTCGGATCGGTTATCCCCTCCCGAATGATACTCCCGCACAACGGGGCCTAATCACCAAAATTCCATTACATTCATTTGTGCATTCCTGGCAATAAATATGTATTCTCAGATCAAAACTGTCTCTCCTGATTGAAAGCCTTATATTGGTTACCTAGCTTACTTTGTCTTCTTCATCAGCCAGCATCCTTGGTATCTGTTGTTCACCGAGCTGATTCTCCCCCCCCTTCCATCTTGATGTTTCTTGGCATCTCTTTATGACCATTCATTTACGAGTTACTAACATGTATAGTTGCCAAAAGGGAGCCTTGTTGTAAAGTGTAAAACACATTAATGAGTTACTACCATTTCTAATAAGGCTTAGCAGTAAAGATAAATGTGGGCTCACTATTTGGCAAGCAACCGGTCACAGTCGCCCTGTTTATCTCATGTCTTATAAAAGCTTACTAATGATTTATGAAGTGTTCACAACCTAATTAATAAATGAATTACAAACTATTCGTAAACCCTATATAAGGGTAGTCTTACTGTAAAGTGGTACCATGTATTGTATAGATTGAAGTCCTTATGGCAGTATAGACTTTATATGAAGAGCAAATTAAAAAATAAAGACCTTTGCTCCAGCTCGCTGCGTAAATGGATTATGGCGCCTTGGTCTTTTCACCTTGGCCTGTAAAGAAAAAGCCAGTGATGTGAAGTAACATGAGGAGCACCAACTGGAAGAACCACATTTCACCACAGCCTGCAGACCTAATGTGTGCTACGGTTCACACACACACACACACACACACACACACACACACACACACACACACACACACACACACACACACACACACACACACACACACACACACACACACTTAAGTGCTCTGATTTAAACATGGTTGTTCCACGCAGCTATAAGTCTAAAAGTCGTTTTTAACTTTGTGTGGTTTTTAAACAGGCACAACTTTATTTTAAAATCTAGTTGGCAAGATCCCAAAGTTTCTTGCGAACTGTATCAGGCTGGGTTTAGGAGAAATGAAAACTGTAGGGTTGGGATTACTTTGCCTCGTGACTGACGATAACCGCAAGCTAACAATAGCTGGTGCCAGATGTTATTTGCATTGCATAAAAGAAAAGATAAAAAGGAAGCAGGAACTGGAACTTCAAAAAGGCACCTGCAGCAAACACTTTCTGTTGTCTTCCCCTGAATATAGCGGCAATCTGGAGTTCAGTACACATTCTCACAATTACATCCGGTACATACTACAGGTCATAATACAGGTTTCTGAGCTTAAGGACTAAGGATTAGGAATGAAAACAGTGTGATGATGAAGAGATAAACTCACTGCTTTGCTTTCTCCCTCTCCGGCTCCTGCAGGTCCATCCATGAGGCCTTCATCGTCTGATTGGCTCTGCTGGAAATTAAACTCATTACATTTGATTTAACTTACAGGAGGTTTCAGCAAAAATATTTGTTTTGTTTAGTTTGAAAGAGGCTTATGAAAACAAATACTATTGCTGGCCGCTGACAGCCAAAGTTTAAGACTAGAAATGACATTGTATTGCATCTGTTCGGGGTTAGGGAGGAGTCACTTGAAACAGTTTGAGAATAATTATTTGTTTCCAGTCATGTTTTAGGGGTTTTCTCTTCAAACTTATTCAAATCAAAAATCTTTTTATTTAGTTTCGACAATCACTAAGAAGAAGTAGAAGTGAGAATCTGATCTTTTCAAGTTTCATACAGGACATAACATCTGTCAACCACTGTAGGTGAGTCTTCAAACTTATTCAAGTTGCATACTGGATTATGATTTGCTCCAAACCGCACACTGAGAACACTGATGATATCTTTCTGCTCCCAAACAATATCAATATCTTGTTCTGTGTACATGTCGGTACCTGATAGCTGCTCTTCTGCTTTTGTCTCACAGCTGTTTTATTCAGTTCCTGAAATGAAACCAGAATAGTTTACTTACCACACAGGAAGGACACAGCTCAGCTCCAAACACACACACACTGCTAGCTGCTTTGAATTGTCTGTCAGGGTGGAGCTGCAGCAAAGCTCCTGAAGAATCCTTTCACCTCAGGTCATTTCATCTCACACTTAATCCTTCATCAGATATATAACTATCAGTCCGTCGATACACTCGGCCATGTTTTGAGTTTAATCACGTGGTAATGTGCATTGTGTTGTGACAGGATAAGGAAAAGACTGAGCACTCAGGAGACTCAAATGAGAATACATCTACTGCAGAGAAGCCTAAAGCCAAGCAGGTGGGTTGTTACGGCGGAATAACTTCATCTCGTTGAGTTATTATTTATTCCCTGAACACTGAAGCCTTAAATACCTCCTCTGACAATCTGGCAGATCATGTCCTTGTTGTCATGTAGAGGACAACATATTTTTAAAACTGAGAGTGACACACTGTTCTTTCTTTGTAGAGCAAGGAAGGAACTCAAAGCACAATATGTAACCTTCAAGCTTGCTGCCTGCTTTACTGGATGGTCTTATTGGTTATAAAATAATTGAAGAAAGTGATTTAACTTGCGTTCTAAAAGATATATGAAATTCAAACTGTGGGAGCAGAAAGAAAGTGGTTTACCTGATCGTCCTCATTTCCTTCGTAGTATATGGACGTCCTCTTCATTTCCTGTGGAGAGAGCACAATGTAGCAAACAGGATATCATAACGAATGTTTGCCCTTGGACCAAAAGCCACTGAGTTTACAAACCTCCTTAGAAGGTCTGGGTGGGACCGTTGGAGTTTCACTTCTTTCCTTTCTCTCTTGCTGGTTCATGTTGCTTTTGACCTGACAAGGACACACACACACACACACAGTGTCACACACACAGTGTGGGGGAGCAGGAGCACAGGCAGGCAGGATTTAAAGGGAGGTGAGACGATGAAGAGGATGTGGTGGAGGTCTGGAGGAGGAGCGTGAGGAGGGACGTTTTTTTGACTAAATTTGATCAGCTGTGTGTGTGTGTGTGTGTGTGTGTGTGTGTGTGTGTGTGTGCAAACATTTGACTGACCGGTTTCGGCTTCTCTTCCCCTGGTTTCTCATCCTCCTGTGAGTCTTCTTCAGTGTTTTTCTAATAAAAAAAATACATTAAATATTACATATTAAACTGGATCAGCCTAAATCAGATAACTCAAGGACCACACCAGATATGTTTTGTATGTTTAACCCTTTAACTTCATACAAGGTACTGATTTTCAGATGTATTTTTTCCACTGTTTCAGGCAGCCATTGGTTTTCTATTCATTTCTGTATTGCATGGAAAGCAAACTGCGGAATTCGTAAACTTGGGACATCAAATCTGTATTTGTTTTTGCCAAAACTCCAAAGAACTGACTGCTGTTTTTTGTATTGAAGACAAATCAATGGAAAACGGTGATTGCCGGAGAAATAATACACCCTAAAATCTATTCAAAACATTTAATAAATTAAAGAATTGGGATGTAAAGTCTTCTGTAGTAAATACGGTTCAACATACAAAATCAGTGCTAAGGTCCATTAAATCCACCATCATTTTCCCATCAGCGACTGCCTGTCACCTAAAACCATCAGGATCAGGTCTATCTCCCTCCACACACCGCACCATGACCAAACACCACCAGCAGCAGCTGCATAGTTACTTTATGTGGAGAGCGGAATATATTCAGTTTGGACATGACTCCAGCCTGAGAGTGAAGAACATCAACATTTAACATTTAACATTTGGATCTGCTTTTAGGCCGAGAAATTGGCCAAAATCAGAAAACAGCATTCAAGATATATATTAGTAACTGTGTATATGTCGATCGATCGATTTCTTAACTTTGAAATGTCCTGCTTAGTTCATTTTAAAGATCTTTGTTATTGTTGTAATTTTCTATTCAATGTTTCTTACTATAAAGTATAAAACATTGTAGGAATTCTTTAAATATTCATCATATGCTACCAAATGTAATTTTGTAGCTAATTTCTGCATTTATTAAATATCGTTGTTTTGTAAAAAAAACTGGCCCGTTAGCATTATTAGTCTTTTTCTGTTAAAAACCACGGGTAACAGACAGATGTTCAGAGGCTAGCAACTAACTGAGCTTCTAGTTTTAAATTAGGGCTGTGCAATTAATCCTATTTTAATCTCGATCACGATTTTGGCTTGCAACGATTACAAAAACAACGTAATAAAACGATTATTATTTTTATTAAAAAATAAATAAAATGTAATTATT